ATCTATATAATTCTCTTGATTTATAGAATTTTGAAGCATCTTTTCTAACTGTTCTTTAAGATTAGATATTTCTAATCTAATAGGTCTAGATCCTCATTTTGAATTAAAATTTCTTTTTCGAGATATTTAATTTAATCTTCTTTTAAGACTAGATCATGCTGTAATTTGCTAACTCAATCTTGTATTACCAATAAAGCACCTTTTAACTGTTCGATTTTTTCACTCATTTTTATTCACAAGTGAGCTGGTTTAAAAATGTTATCTATTTCTATAATACAAATAGATTCTAAAAAAGCTTATAAACTAGATATATCTATTGCTTTGCATAAGATTTATTATCAACCTAATGGCTATCAAAGAACCGTGAAAAAATTGTATGAAGCTTCTCTAAAAGCAGGATATAATTTTTCTATCAATGAAATATGTGATTGGTTTGAAAAACAGGCTTTATATCAGATTCATAAATCACATCCAAAGTTTATTCCTAGAGCCTCATTTAATAGTATACAGATTCCTAATGAATGCCATCAAGCAGATATTCTTTATATGCCTCATGATATAATTGGGCATAACAAAATATATAAGTATTGTTTATGTATAGTTGACGTTGCTTCCAGATATAAGTGGGCGGTTCCTTTAACAGATAAGACATCGAGTAGTGTAGCTAAAGCCTTTAAGAAAGTTTATAGTAATTCCAGATGCCCTCTTATTTGGCCTAAATTATTAATGGTGGATCCTGGTTCAGAATTTAAATCAGACTGTAAAGAATTAATGGAAAAACATAATGTTAAAATTAAGATTGGCACGTCCCATAGAAGTCAAGCTATTGTTGAGAGATTTAATCGCACTTTAGCTGAAAAATTGTTTAGATTACAGGATGCTTCAGATTTATTGTTGCCTATCTCCAAAAGATCTAGAGCTTGGGTTAAAAATCTTCCCATTATTGTCAATGATCTTAATAATTCAGTAACTAGACTAATTGGTATGACCCCTGCTAAAGCTATAAAAATGAAGCAAGTTATTGCTATATCTTCCAAATTACGAAATGGGCCTATAGGCTTTAATGAGTCTAAGCTATTATATAATACATCAGCAAGATATTTGCTTGAACCTGGTGAGTTAGAAGATAGATATATGTGAGCAACTGATATGAATTGGTCTCCACAAGTTTATTATATTCGTAAAGCTTTGGTACAAAAAAATCAACTTATTTTATATTGGCTTGAAGATAAGGAGGACAATAGACCAAAGCGGTCTTTTGTTAGAGAAGAGCTCCAAGTCATAAAGGATGTGCAATTGCCTCCTCAGTGGGTTCTTATGAGTTAAGCCATGCTTGAAATTCCTCTTCTCTTTCCTGTTATAAAGTACTTTTTAGCAATTTTGTAAATTAGTTTGAGATAGTTTAAAATAGCTTGTCTGATTTTTGGTTCACTTTTATAATAAGAATTAGAGAATACCTTTATTTTTGTATTATATATCTCTTTATTGGGAATAAGCAATCTGGCTTTGATTATAATATATTGCTTTTGATCTTCTGATTTATGCAATTCATCAAGTTGCTTTTTATAATAATCTATGAATCCTTTATTTCTATTCTTGTTATAAAAGTTTCCTGCTCTCAATATATCAATTATTGATTTTTCGATATCTTGCTATGATGGAAGAGAGGTTTTGACCTCTAAAGATAGTTGGTTAGTAAATTGAGTAATACTTGTCATTTAAATTTATATAATGTTTGGTAAATATAAAGACTAAATATTTTATTATATACTTAAAAAATTGTTTAAATTAAATTTTTACCTTATATAAAAATGAGTACTATGTATACTTGCTCTTTTGTTGATTATTCTGG